AGCCAACTATGTGTCAAAGTTTTATCCGTGCAGATGAATTTCACATTACATAAGACGACAAAGCAAGGTGACTATACAATGTTTTGATGAAGTCCGTAGCCTCTCTCCTTCCAAAAATGTTGGCCCAAAAGTTTTGGTCTAAGGACTCAGTGGAAAACCCCCTAATCTTGAGGTATTTTCTTAAGGCTTTTCATTGGGATAATTGCAAAACCAGAACAGTGTTAAGGAAGTCCTTTTCATAAATAAAAGTGGGATACTCCTGGCATCACAAAAAAATTGTGATTTGCTCACCCACAGTAGCCGATGATGTTGCTACCCAAAGGCCACAAAGTGGACAAAATGTTGACTATCCTCTCAGAACACCAAAAATCTTGTCAACTGCCACGTACGCACATCCCATACTGCTCGTGCTCCCACTTTGTCACCACTGAAATCCTCACTGTTCCCAATGGATCATGTTCTCGTTCCTCCGGTTGAAATTGGGACAGGGTCTTGGTCTTCCTACAAACACATCAGTTGACATCGACAGCTCTACGACGTGCACTGGCTGTAAAGTGCGCAGAAATGCACCACCGTTTGACCAGAAGACAGATAACTCGAGGAAGAAAAAGATTTTGTGCAGTGGTGCAAAATGCATTCCCACTAGCCATTTTGAACTCTTTATTGTAGATTTGCCTCTTTGCAACAGTTCCACTGGGGAAAATACTAGTCAATGTTTCACAATCACATGTTAAATACGTCGCATTTATTGTTGAAACTCACTTCTTATTTACTTTAAGTGGCTACGCAAGAACGAATGAAAGCGGTTTTTCGTTCGTTGATGCCAATTTGAAAACGAATTATTGTCTCATTTATAAAACTTGACCAGAAGTTTACTCTCCCTGGGGGAGCAATAAAGTTGTGGTCGTGTCTCAGTTAAAAGTCAGAGCATTTGCACTTTCTATTTGGCTATTTTCGCGTTAACTCTTTAGCTGGCATTACCTCAATGAGGTTGACCTAGCCCCGTTTTAATTGGAGCTATCCCAATGCGAACACTTTAGTCCCTGCATTCTTGACCCCACTGAGAGCGTGGTGGTATTTTGTGTCTGACTCTGGCTTCCCACTCACTCTTTTTTCTGCTTTTTTAGGTCATTTAGGGTCCAAACGGAGAACTTTGTCTTGATTAGTTTGAAATTTTGCTGTAATCCTAAATCAAATTTACATCGGACACGGGATTCTCACTCCTCACACCTACTGTTTGACTTCAGACACCAGAAGGACTCTGGTATGAGAAGGTGGTACTTGGATCCACCTATTGGAACCAAATACAACTCTACTCCACATCCCCCTCGTCCTGTCGATGGTACTGCTCGCCCTATTTAGGGGTGATTTTACAAATGATCTCAGGAATCCCTTTCAGCATGCAGACCAATAATAGCTCATCAAATATTCTTGTTTGATTCACGTTTGACGTGCTGACATGTACTCCTCTTTGATAGTCTCGATGCTTACACAGTCGGACTTCAGAAGGCCTCAATCATCTGAGCACCCATAATATTCGAGTCGAATGGGTCACTCGATACTCGAGTCAGCAACATCAGATCATCTCATTTAGCACGATGGATTAATAGAAGGTGTGAGATTGGCAGCATAGGCGGGTCGGAAGATGCTTTTCAAAGTAAATAATCAAAAAGTGCATCTGCTCCCCTTTTTTAATGAACAAGACAATTTTGGCATTGCTAGCTATCTCTGCATCATAGATTCTGCTAATGTGATGAAAAATGGCTTGGGATGTCCTTCATGTAAACATGCACTCTTCTCTGTTATGCCATCCTCATGTACAAAATCGGCTCTTTACAATTAGAAAATCATGTTATGCACAATTGTTAATCAACTCTATTTGCCTTTAGTGGAATACCCTTCGGTTCCATTGCCATGCAATAATCACCTAAAATTGCTATGATGTTTAAAGAAGAATAGGCACCAACTCCAGTTCAAGCTTCACTTTACATGGATCTGCAGTAACAGAGGAGAAATTGAACTTTCAAGTAGGAATTTAAATTCGATTGTGTTTATCACTTACCTACTAATAGGAATAGCCATATCTTAGAACGCCAATATCTATTTAATTTTGTAAAATTGCCACATATCGCTAAAATAACAAACGAGGAGGCATGTTTAAGTACTTAATCAAATTTCTTAATGGCATGTTAATGCAAGTGGCCTGTTAGTCTACACTTCTTTCCGCTCAGACAAAACAAAATGCTTGACCTGATAATTTCTGCCAAGAGGTTTATTGAAATCTTTATCAAAGTAACAAATTGCTTGACAGCGCCGACCCAACAGTCGGGAATTTTACAGAATCGACCAAAAATGATGGAGTAGAGCACAACCCCAAATGCTAAATTGCTTCGTCTGGATGCGCCAACCAGTTGTAATGTCCACTAAGTGTTGTCACTGATTTCGAATCTCGTAACATTTGGGTGATGACTTACTCCAACTACTGCAGCGGTCAAATTTCACATTGCTGCAGGCGTACTTTAAGCACATGAATATGCACACACGGTACGTAAAAAGCCATGATGGGTGTTTGTTGAGTTGAGGTGATGTTTAACGCCAAGACGTGCAGTTAAGTGCAAGGCACATGTCACTAAAAGACAATACAACTTAAAGGATAAGTAGTTAGCGAGGAGTGTTTTATGTAACTTGGAAAAGAATCATGAGTCAACAAAGTTACGTGTTTACTATGCCTCTGATTCGTAAATTCCTTACCAAATTGTGGTATGGGGAGTAATTTGCAATGCCTGTGGTGTTCCTCTAGAGCAACAAGTAAACTGCCGGGGAGTCATTTAAGCTTTACATCACTTCCACTGCTAATTTTTGGAACACAAATCGCACGTTAAAACTGCGTTTCTCCAAACTTCCACCGACTGATCTAAGCTGGGTTCAAATCTACTGAAAATGCTCTAACACTGTGGACAGTGAATGTAAAGAATTCTACCAATTCATTGGAATAATCCTGTTGTACAACTCCAGTAAAAGTTTTAATGGATCAAGGCCAAAGACCGCGGTAGTGCCTTTTATTTTCATGTGTCGCCCTCCACGTGGG